AGATCAGAATTCTAGGACCTGGACCTACATCTCCCCTTAATGAACACCCTCCCCCCCCCCATGGACATTGATTTCTTGGGAGACACTTTCCAGCTATTTATACTGTACTTCTTGACCTGTGGGTTAATAGGATTCAGATTCTTGCATTATCGTTCTTAGGAAAAGCTCTTAATGTTTTGCTAATCTGCAGGTAAACAGTCCCAAAGGCAGAGATCTGTCTGCACTGATGTCACGCAAGTGCATCAGTACCCTCCTGGCGCGTGCTGTCTTTGAGTCCCTCTAATTGCTCTCACGTCGCCAGTCACATCAGGTTATGTGATGTGACGGCTGGGAGACTTGAATGCCAGAAGGCAGAGCTTCCATAATCCCTGAAAATTCCCCAACACCTAAGCCCCTCCTGCATGGGTGGCATGGCTTTCCTGGCCTACCATGGACAGCTTTGGCTGATAAATACAGCATCGGCAGCTGGGGTAGGTTTCAAAGTTCAGAGAGCTCCAAACACATTGCTTGTCTGTGACCTCTAAGAGTTCAGTCCAGTGAATGCTTTGCTATTCCTCAGCTGTTCGCTGGATCTCAGCATCCCAGACTGTCAGACACTTACGAGTTAAGTGAAAGCAATTTATTTCAGAATACAAACCACATCTAAACTCCTGAACAGTGCTGCAATGGAGCCATCTGACTCAAGAACATGCCTGAGAACTTGTCCCATAAAAGACTGTAGAGTATTACACTTCAGTGAAAAGCTAACTGATCCAGGACAACTCCATCTCTCCAGGAACCGCTCCCGAAGGATGATGGCACGGAGACGGTCTAATAGCATCAGCATGTGCACCTTACCCAGTATTCCAGAGTACCCGGGCTTCCAGGACATTAAGGTCAGTATGCAGCAAGTCTTTTTTGCAGTGTACAATCGATCTTGTTAGGAAGCTGGCTATGTTTCTGTCACAGTTACTTCTGCACATCCTGGGCAGTTGATACTATATTGTATTCTGGGATGCTATGGAAGTGCTGTACCTGCACAGTTTCCCCCACCACACACCTCTGACCCTCCAGTTAGCCATTTTTTAAAAGTAAGAATGAGGGGGAAAGATGTCACGTGCTTTTAAACATTCTCATTTGAGGCTTATTTAAAAAAATGTGATTTTTGCAGGCATCATTATTTTGATTGTTCTCAGCAAAAAGTGATGACTTATTAGCAGTCTGGGCACCACGTTTTAGATCTGGGCACCATATTTGAAGAAAGATGTGGAGAAATTGGAGAGGGTCTAGAGAAGAGCAACAAGAATGATTAAAGGTCTAGAAAACATGACCTGTGAGGGAAGACTGAAAGAATTTGAATTGTTTAGTTTAGAAAAAAGAAGACTTGAGAGGGACAGGATAGCAACTTTCAAGAACCTAAAAGGGTGTTACAAGGAGAAGAGGAAAAACATTCTCCTTAACCTCTGATGATAGAACAAGAAGCAATGGGCTTAAATTTCAGCACTGGAGGTTTAGGTTGGACATTAGGAAAACTTCCTGTCAGGGTAGTTTAGCAGTGGGATAAATTGCCTAGGGAGGTTGTGGAATATCCATCATTTGGATATTTAAGAGCAGGTTAAATAAACATCTATTGGGGATGATCTAGATGGTGGTTAGTCCTGCTATGAGGGCAGTGGACTGGACTTGATGACTTTTCAAGATCCCTTCTGGTTCTAGTATTTTATGATTCTATGGTTCTATGAAAAATCGGCTGATTTGCATAGGCTGCTAGCATTTCCCCGTGTTTCAGTTTGCATTAGATAATACGGAATACAATTTAACCAACAATATACAGTACATTGAGATGACACCAAATGGCAATAAGGCAGACAGTGTTGCAAAGAGATCCTTACAACAGGGAGTAATGTACTGACTTCTGTGCCCTTTTTGCACAGCTGTAAAATTGATTTAAATAATTTTTCTTCTAGACCACAGGGTTGTTGCAAAGCCTAAATCACAATCACAAAATACTGTGTCATGCCATCCTTAACTGAAAGGGTCATTCAACCTGTATAATGGTAACATTATTAATACTTCTGGATTATTTAAAAGCTGCAGCATTCCACAGTGCAACTCAGACCAGTGAAGGGTCTGTATCAACTCTTACTCTGTAATCGGGATGTCTTACTGTGCTTTGCTGTTATAGCTCCCATCTGGGCTCCTCACAAACAGCGTGCAGGTCACTCAGCTATAGTCCGGTCCAACAGCTCTGACTCCGACAGCCTGCCAACAGCCCACCAGCCACACTCTGGTGTCCATAAGCCTTGTTACTCTTCTCAGGGTGCCCCCAACATATTTCCAGGCTTGAATTTTCCCCCAAAATGTGTTTTGCACTATCTAGTCCCCACCAGATATATTAGGTTCTGTGCACTTCTAATGGGATCAATATACAGCAGTTACTCAAACAATTCACCATCCAGGATGAGATTTAATTAGATAAGAAAATACGTTTGCTTAACAATAAAGAGAGAGCTTTTAAGTGAGGCTTTAAAAATCAGAAATGGTTACAAGAAAAACAAAGACCGAATGCTTTCTAAACGTAACCAACTAGACTTGGTTCAAGGTGAAGTTCTTACCACTGTTTTCAGTACATTGTTGGCCAAACGCTCAGGTTACAAGCTGTTCCCAAAGCTCACAAAGGCTACATCTAGACTGGCATGATTTTCCGCAAATGCTTTTAATGGAAAAGGTTTCCGTTAAAAGCATTTGCAGAAAAGAGCGTCTAGATTGGCACGGATGCTTTTCCGCAAAAGCACTTTGTGCAAAAGGACTTTTGCCCGAACGGGAGCAGCATAGTATTTCTGCAAGAAGCACTTATTTCAGACAGTAGGAAGTCAGTGTTCTTGCAGAAATTCAAGTGGCCAGAGTAGACAGCTGGCAAGTTTTTGCGCAAAAGCAATTGCTTTTGCGGAAAAACTTGCCAGTCTAGACACAGCCAAGCTGTTTCTTTTGCTTCTTTAGGAGGAAAAGAGAGGTGGATAAGAAGAGAGGATTTGGATTGTTTAATAGTTCACTCACCCGCTGACATGTATTTTTCTGAGACTGATCCCTAGATAAAGTTCTTTGCGTCTGTGAGCAAAGAGGCACAGAGTCTGGTGCACGAGAGGTTTTATGCTGTTGCTTGCTAAATGGCAGATCTATTTACTTCTGCCTCCCTGTCTTGCCGAAGAGTGGCCATTTGATAGGTGATGGCCCATCAGCTTTGATGACACCTAACTAGAGGTATAACCTTGTCCTTTGCTTAAGAGCTGCTTGACCAGTTATGCCTAAACGGAACTACATGAGTTTGAACATAAGCCATCATCACTGGGGGCTAAGAGAGACCTCCTAACTTTTAATATAATGTTGCTACAGACATTCTACCATAACATTATTGACCAACAAGTTATTAGTTTTCAAATGATACTTTACAAGATATATTTTGTCCAAAGATTATTACAGTCACACATAGGCTGTGTCTAGACTGGCAAGTTTTTCCACAAAATCATCTGCTTTTGCGGAAAAACTTGCCAACTGTCTACACTGGCCGCTTGAATTTCCACAAAAGCACTGACGATCTCATGTAAGATTGTCAGTGCTTTTGCAGAAATACTATGCTGCTCCCGTTCGGGCAAAAGTCTTTTTCCGAAAAACTTTTGTGCAAAAGGGCCAGTGTAGATGGCAGAGATCTGTTTTCCGCAAAAAAGCCCCGATCGCGAAAATGGCGATCGGGGCTTTTTTGCGGAAAAGCGCATCTAGATTGGCCATGGACGCTTTTCTGCAAAAAGTGCTTTAAACGGAAAACTTTTCCGTTAAAAGCATTTCCGGAAAATCATGCCAGTCTAGACGTAGCCATAGGGTATGAATGCAGGGTCCATTCCATCGCAAAAGACAAACTCATTAAAGAAACTGAAGAAAAATAAAGTTCTCCATTCAAGCCAAACTGCAAAGATATTTTCCAGGAAAAAAGTTCAACCAAACATTAGTTTGATTAATTAAAGGAGCTGGTGCATGCAAGGATGGCTGGTGGCAGTACATTAGCAATTGCAGAGCTGTAACTTTGGAAACCCACAATACAATAAATGAGTAAATGACACATTAAATGTTGGTGAAATCTCAGTTAATACTCTTAGAGGGAACTGGATTAGGGCCAAAGTCAATAGAAAGACTCCCACTGAAGGCAACAGGGGTTGGATCAGGCCCTTTGTTTGTCTATTCAGCAGCTCAGATAGCAAATTGTTTAGTTGCCAAGGTGATAGGCACCTTAGAAATACCTATGATAGGGATGGAAGAAAAAGCTCTAAGCACAACTGTGAGGCTATATAAAATAATAATAATTAGCATGGCCATTTTGGATCATGTAATTAAACTGCAACATGCAAACTGTAATTCTTGTTATAATAATTCTCAATTCATAGCTAAGCTAATTTCTGAAAAATAATATAGAAAATATTTCTTAGAAGAGGAATCCATTTTACTGCAGTCGTACAAATCTGCAGCAGCTAGAAGCTAAGGACAGATGAACAAGATAAAGCAGAAAGAGCTACAAGAATGTAAAGGGTAAAAAAAATCAGAAAATTAGGAAAGGATGTAATGAGTATCATTGATGGATAAAAATCACTAACAAAACTAAAGAATCCTTTTTTGTGTTTTTTTTCAACACATGTATTACTTTATAAAATATCCAACTTAAAAATAGTTGGTCAAGAGACAGGGAAGGGAAGGGTATGATAAAGAGAAAGGAAAAGGCTTAAAAATAACCCAATACTAT